CAAGAAGAAATCTATCAAGCACTGAAAGAAGAATATGCACGGAGGCTTCGTGTCCACAAAATTAAAACCGACCCAAACACTATCAAACAGTCAGACTGGTTGAACAATGTGAGGGAATGGCCGGAAATTGACGAGGGCAAAACCTTCAGTTATATTCTTCGCGTCAAAGCTGTTGATGTTGATTATATCGGTGCCTACAAAGACCAAAAGGCCTATTCTTATTGGAGGAGTGGGTTCGTGGATACYGTTTACGTATCTAAGTGTTCTTCTAATGACAATCACTATTTTCTGAAGGGCCACGTGTGTCCTTCACAAAGATTGAGAAACGATGCCTACCGTGTGATACTCTTCGTTGAAGGAAAAACTGATCCAAAATTACTTACTTCATGGTGTACCTGTACCGCTGGAGCAGGGGAAGTATGTAACCACGTAATAGCTGTACTTTACAAGGTTAATTTTGCACACCAAAATGGCTATATTTCCCCTGCTTGTACTAGCATGCCACAAGGCTGGAACATTGGCACCAAAAAAGAAGTGGAGCCAAGTAAAATCAGAGATCTTATTTTTAGAAAAGACAAAARAACTAAGAATGATACAACCAGTACCTTAGAGGAACAAAGTGAAGGGAAAAGGAAGTTTGATCCAAGGAAACCTGGTGACAGGGAACTGACATCAGAAAGGGTATCACTTTTGTTAAATACCATAAAAGAAAAACTGCCATCTGCATGTGCACTTTTGTCTGTTGAATATGGCACAGAAAGAGGCACATTACCCAATGGAATGCAGGAACAGGCTACGGGATTCATGGCCGACAAAGATATTGAAAGCGTGCCTGTTGAAGAAGTAGTTCCTGTTTTTTTAGACCATTGCCAAATGACTTTGACACAAGTTACAGAAATAGAAAAATGTACGCGAGAGCAAACAACAAATAATAACTGGAGAGAGCAAAGGCTGTGACGAGTTACTGCTTCTAAGTTCCACACAGTAGCAACTAAAGCTGAAAGTTTAATGAAAACAAGAGGACAACGGACTACAGGTGACCTATACCCCTTTAGTGTCAGAGATTTTGTATGGTGGTCCTGATATTTCCTATCTACCACAGATTCAATGGGGTATACAAAATGAAAAAACTGCCATTAAATCATTTATGGCAGAAGTGTTATCTAAGCACGATGGAGGCCTTGAAAGCTTCCGTGAGTGTGGATTGTTTGTGAAACATGACCACCCCTACCTTGCAGGATCTCCAGATGGCCTCGTAAACTGCAAGTGCTGTGGACTTGGAACTGTTGAAGTGAAATGCCCCCATTCTGTTAAAAATGGAAACATTCACTTGAAAGAAGTGTACTCAAAGACAGACTTCCTCGAAGAATTCAATGGTCAGCCACGGCTTAAGAGAAGTCACAAATACTTCACACAAGTGCAAGCTCAAATGTGGGCTGTTGGTTCATCACATGCATTTTTTATTGTGTGGACTGAGGGGCATAAAGCTTTATATGAAGTGATCAATTATGACAACGATTTGTGCCTTGCATTGGTTAATAACATAACATTGTTTTATAAGGCTTATGTTTTACCTTGCCTTTTGGGGTATAGGAATGTTTACAAATGTCCCAAGTGTAACAAGTGCATTCTCGAGGAATCCGAGATGAACAATCCTGATAGTGAGAACAGTGTTTGCTGTGACAGCTGCAACTTGTGGTGGCACATTGCATGTGTTGGGAGTACAGACATTGAAAGTGAGGATCGATGGTTATGTAATAGTTGCATATTGGATATGGTTACTCCAGACACTGTACAAGATCAAGATTATGATTAGTTGTGTTTCATATGCCAATGATTGTATTTGCACATTGTTGACTAGTTTTAGGTAGTACATTGTGTTCTATGTACATTAGCGCTGTCCACACTAAGTAAATGTGTTTCAATGACAAAAACTTGACATAGTCTCTACTTGTCAATTTAGTACACAAAAATTCAAAAACTTTAACCCGTGCAATAGATATTAGACTAATACACCTTAGTAGTCTCTATTTCCATTGTTTTCCTTTGTCTCTATTTGACTATTACACCTTGACTATTAAATTTTGTTTCACGGGTTAAATATCTTTACTCTACTGCAAAATGAATAAGAGAAAATTAATAAAATTAGCATAAAGTCAAATATTTGTAAGGAATAATGTTTAACTGATATGTTATTTTACTGTCACATTTCAATAATGTACAAAAAATAAAAGCATTATGTATTACAACTTTTTACCAATGGCAGCACTTTCACATTATTCAGATGTAAAAGCAAATCAACTGTCTTCCATAGTACATTATTATCATAAACAAGCAGTATGTATTGTGCTGATAATTATCTACATTTTTTTGTTATGTACATGTATAATATATATGCAGACATTATAGACATATGTTGTTTTTTTTCTGTTCTAGTTCAATGTTTAATAATTGTAAAATGTAATAAAACAATCTAATTCCCAAATATTCAATAGTTGTACCATAATGTTACTGAACTAGAGTAATTCAAGAAACAGAGTAATCCACTGGTTAGAGACTTGCTTACAGTTGCATTTTGAATTGCTCTGGATCATTGATACACAAATAGTCATTTAATAGACTAATAAATTCAATATTTTTATACTAATTCACACTACAAGTAAGTGCTCAATTTAAAAGTTGAAGTTGCAAATTCAACAGATTACCAATATTATTATATTATTTATACTTATTATATCAATTAATTTCATCACAAAGACTAGGTAAAAAATTGCAGAGGGCACAACAAACCCTAACAATGTCATCGACTATCTGAAGCTCAGTTATAGGTATTTCATGCTTCAAAATGCGGAAAACTTTCAGTCTGCCAATTGCCTGCTCTACATAAATCCTTACATTTGCAATGTTAGAAGTCTTCCTTACGTCTGCTGGGAGCATTTGCATAGAGGATGCACAGGATGGGGGGATAGAAAGTGTGGCCAATGACATCATAAGATCTTCTCTTATCTTGAATCCCCTATCGGCCATAATTTGGTCATAAGGCTCAATCATGGTTAAAAAGCCACTGTCCCTAACAATGAACACATCTGAGGCTCTGCCACCATAAGCTGGCGAAACATAAGATATAGCTCCATTTGGGGTTATACCAACCAGTACTTTGAATGTATAATGGTGCTTGTAGTCACTCCACAAGGCGGCTGCTACATCTAGACCACTTGGTTTCTCTGTAAAACATTCAAAGCAATCAATAATACAGCGTACTTTAGGGTACAAGGCCTTGAAGCACGCCGGTAAAGTCCTCCGCACTTGAGCACGGCTTGGCCATATGATGAGTACTGATAGCTCTTTGGACATTAGCTTTATCCAAGTGATAAAAATACAACTCGCTGTTGGGAAAGATATGATAAATCTAAAGGCTAGATCATCCATAAGAAGGCCAAGTCTCAATCTCATGAGGGTAAGTAGTAACTCTTGYGAAAGGTTCAGTTTTCGCGCTGGACCTGGTCGACCTCTACTCTCAAAATACACGTCTTTATCTGCTCTCTTGGGCGTCTCCTTAGTTGTTTGTTTTACTCCGCGCTAGTACTGCATTCTCTGGGCTTTTGGAAGTAAATAGTCAAAAACACATTTAAATGCTTCCGTAGATGGAAGACCAGTGTATTTCTTGACCTCAAACTCTCTGGAAAATTGTTCAAAGTTCATTGCCACTCGTAAAGACAAGTCCAGATCGTCGTCAGTGCTGTCACTTTCGGATGACTCGTCCACATTCGTAGTCGATGTAGATGGCAGCTCTTTTTGCTCAACTATCTTGCTTTTTTTCGGCGAAACTTTCCTTGGGAACTCACTGGTTGTAAGAAAAATCGAGGGATAGTCTGTGCTTGGATTACTAGGCGTTCTTTTGCCTTCAGGAAAGTGATTCGAACATACGAAACTTCCTGTTGACCCCGGCGCTGGGTTGAAGTTATCACTTCGTCCGATAGACACTTGTTTACGCCAAATTTCAGCTAATTTTGGGTCTGTTGGCCATCTATGAAATTTTAAATCTTTGACATGACTTCGGATAACAAATAACAAAATCCTACTGCACATCTAGCGTGTTGTGGCATAATAGAAGCGATAGGCCATATTGGCCGCGCGCTCGCCCCAGTCTGTTTGCACCCTAAGCAATATGGCGGAATTATCCTTGAAGTGGCGTATTGTAAAAAATGTGTGTTTTTTACACCAGAAAACAGATATTTCTGTTATAAAAACAATTCTAAAATGAATTGCCATCAATGTCACAGAAGAACAATCATTTAAATGTCTCGAAAAGATACTTATTTCGTAGAAAAACAACAATCGTGGGTCTTTCATCTAGTCAAAGCACAACGAAAACAAACAAGTCAGTAAGCTTTATCTACTTTATCTACAATCAAATCGTTTTCAATCTTCATCGTCGCTTTCAGCGATAGCATTTCGACGCCTTTTCCCTTGTTGAACCGTCACTGGACCTTTGGAAATCTTGAAGTTACATTATTAAGTGATGCTGCGAATTTCTAACCTGGGTTTTATTAGTATAGTCACGAAGCGGCGCCTTCTCGTCTTCATCGCTTCGAGATTTCGTCACTTGTGTTTTGTTGCCTTTTCCGCTCTGTACAACCGCCTTCGCTTTACTACAAGAATGTTTATATTAGACCTTGTTTTTCGTATTGTAATTTCGCCTTCTACTTTTCTACAAACAACTGTCAAAACAACAACTCCTTGGCTCGGAGTTTGAACTTCGCCTCGGATGTGGCGTTTTCATGCATGTTTTCTTCAACTCAAATTCGTCAGAATAATAAAATTCGCTTGAAAAATATTCTTCCTCGTCATTCTTTATATTTCTTTGCTTGCTTCTCGTATAGTTATTCTCAAATTCAGTTCAAAAAAATCAAATCTCGCGCCTTGAAAAATGYCAACAAACGGGCGCTCGGGAATATGACTTTCGGACCGTTGTTATGGTAATCGGTCGGAGATGGCAAAATATCGCCCTCGCGTGAGCCAATCAGAACGCGCGTACTATCCAAGTCATTTAATGATAATTTATATCTCCCCAGACATTTTGTCTCCTCCTTAGAGCGATATCACTATTCGCAATGTTTTGCATGCAAATGATATTGTGGTTAAAATAACATGATGATGAGGTGCAAATGAAGTGCACGCGTGTTTATATGCTTCAATGAAACGCAGCTGAAAAGCATTGCAAAAACTGATTTTTTTATTATGAATTTCAAAATAATTAATATTTGACAAAAAGATACATCTATAGGAAGTCAACTCTAGTAACTCYTCTCAAATTTATATTTTGTAGAAACGGTGAATTTTGGATTGTTTTCCAACTTATATGCATAGTGCAATTTTTACTATTCATAACATCCAATAAAAATATTGCTGTGCTTCAAGGACTAAACAATTTTTATAATATAGATGTAATAGTACGCGCGCTCTGATTGGTCTAACAGCGTGATTTATTTCGCCGGTAAATGCACGCTCGCGAGCGAATGACCCCTTCTTGTACTTTTTTTCAAGATGCCTGACGCCCAACTTCCTACGTTTGAGTTTTCAATTGGCGATTACTTCGACAACAACGACGAAGAGTTATTAAATGCCTGTATTTCAGCAGAAGAGCAATTATCAGAAACTAAAGAAACAGAAAATAGTGAGAATAAACGCAGTGCAGAAGTAGAAAGTGAAACAATTACAAAATGGCAGCCAAAACAACAGCAAAATTTTAATTTATAGCATGGATCGCTTGATTTAGATTTTCTTAAGTAGCTCTTATACAACTACGAATAAGTTGTAAATATTCTCCCTGACGTAGTGCAAATATAGAAACAAATCAAATTCCTACACAGTCGACAAACCATAGATTTTTGTCCATGTAAATTCTGACAATTGAAATCAGGTAAGCTTACTACAAGCTAAAGTTTGAGTTGAAAAACTGAGTAAAACTTATTAACGAAGAAGAATTAAACACGATTCTTTGAATTATATAATTTGACTTCCCTTAAAGCTATCTTAATCAGTTAGCGAAGCGAGCTGACTAAACATTTTCCACAGAAACACAAAGTGAACAGTTTGTGGCAAGTTTGATTTAAGCTTATTTTTATTCAATGTGTCTACAAAACAGTTGAAAGAAAGGATTAAAACAAGTCAAATGATAGTACCGATTCTCGAAGAAATACCTTTTGAAGTACCTTTTGATACTACAAAAGGTATTTGCTTACCAAAGACTCAAATTGAAAAGCAAACGACAATTCTGTACTAGTTAAGCTTAAAATTGTTTGAATTAAAATTCAAAACACAAACAGAAAACGAATGAGGACATTTCGATACAAAATAAGCGTGCAAAATGACACTAAAAATATGAGTTTAAACATACTTTCATCGGCATAAATGTTGATAGAGACGTAGTCTTTTCTCTGCAACAATACAGCCATCTCTTGTCAAAAGTACAACGGACGATTGAATTGTCGTTCTCTGAATGACTTCACACTTCAAACTCGCTTATTTGCCTTTTTTGACAGCGATAGTCAAGAACTGGACTAAACGACTTCTATTTTCAGCACTTAAATCCTTTCGAATTGTTCATTGCTTCTAAAAAGTGAATTTTATCCAATTTAGCACTAAAAAGTTTGCAAAGAAATGTTCCTCGCCGTCTTCAACCAAATCTGTCGCTTGAAATTTGCTCGAACTGCTGATGTTACGCTAAATGTGATTGGCTCCTTGATGATTTTAAGGAGAATTGAGCAATTGATCAGCAAAATCAAAATAGTCAATTTTTTTCTTTTTTCCTTTATTAAATAGATTTTTGCTGTGGGCTATATTATAAAAGCAATAAACAACACATTTTCGTGCGTTCCTCGTGAAATAAACAACTGGATGTTGGGAAAACAATCAAAAGGCTGAAAATCTCTCGCCTGCGGCTCGAGATTTTCTACGCCTTTTTCGTGTTCTCCCAACATCCCGCGTGGTTTATTTCACCAGGAACGCACGAAAATGTGTTGTTTATTGCTTAAGTAAATATCATGTAATGCGTATTTTGTTCATATTTCAGTTGGAAAAGATCAATACATCTCTCGGACAAAAATGCCACAAGCTCGACACAGGCATCAACCATCTCGGATGTCTCAAGATCTCGGATGTCTCAAGATGCTTTTTATATGTCCTTAACACCTCCGAGCACGCCTTCGGTCTATAAGCGCATTTGTGCTGCTCGTATTTGCGTTAGTAGGGATCCACTCGGCTAATAATGTGGCTTTGCGAGGTAAGACTGTGTGCAGTCGCGTCATCAACGGAAGGTGCAAAATAAATTGTACAAAGAATTTYCTATGTTGTCAACTGACAGTGAGGGTGAAGTAAACGAAGATGAGTCAAGCAAGAAACAGAAGAAAAAGGGGAGTAGCACACAAAGCGCAAGAAGATCACAAAATTTGTGCGACAAGGCCATGACAACTTTAGATAAAGTGGACAGTCTCTTAACGGATATAMATGGACGACAAAAAGTAGTTAAACTGGATGATAGAAATTACRTCAATCTTTATTTTGTCAAATTTTTCATCTCTAAAACTGAAATAAAATAAAAATCTGTTSTTGCAATGCTTTAGCAGCTGTTTCACTAAAGCATATAGGGGACTGCGCACTTCTTTATCATGCTATTTTTTCCCAAAACTCATTTGCATGCAAAACATTGGTGATATGATATCGCTATATTAATGTACCGCTAGCATGTGATAATGTTTCCTGACAACCTTGCCATCATAATACTTAAATCGCATTAATCGCTGAGTTGAGCTCAGGTYYCAATGTCTGAAGACAGTATTTCATAAGGGTAAGCAGTCAGKTGGAAATMTTTTCGAATTGTTTACATTTCTGWACAGCACCATGTCTAGATATACATTTCGTATAGCTGACCAGCACAATTTCAAAACAGGATGAAAGTATGCATTWGCTGGTTATTTTCTGACTTTTATGGTTCTTTTTCTTTCGTTTGCTTTTTGAGTATATTTTRCGTGCAATCGATATATGTGCACTCGGCCAAGTGTTACTTTGACCAGAAGTATTTCTGCTTTGACCAATCACAGCATGCACAGTATAATGCCCGYAAGAAACAAAATTAGTCTCACAAGATGGTGAAGTTTTTCTATTAATTGTAACGAGATTCACTGTAACCTTGAAGATGACCGTGTAGGTCGAAAKCTCGGTTTTATTTTATTGAACACAAAGGTTGGTGTAGCAAAGTACACTATGAAGTTAATTCCAACCTATAAAACATCTTTTTAAACTTAATTAGTGTTASGGAAATTCTCCAAAAAAATATCGGGGCAGACTTCAAATCTAAGAAAAATAATAGAACAAAGATAAAACAATATCGTTGGAATATATTCCCATCCCACCCTATGGTCAATTTAGATGATGACTGTCCCGAGTTATAGAAAAATCTCCCGTGTATATGTTGTAGTTCAGGTTCAATATATTTTTGAACCAGTTTAATCTAATTTGTTCCAGTACGAGAGTTCTTGTACTGGTCTTTTCTTTTTTTTTTTGCTTTGGCATTCTTTTAAAAAAGAACTAAAAGAACTATATCCCATCTCATTCTCTCACATTTTCTATCTATCATCTTATTTTCTACCTTCTACTATTTCCTACTTTATCTTACCCTATACCCCACAGAAATATTGATATTTTCTATATTTTTAATTTATTAAWAACACTTACCTTCATCAGGGTTTGAACCACTGAACTCTTGCTTCATAGTCCACAGTACTACCAATTATACCATAAGGATTCTGTTGGTAGCAATGTTTGCAAATTGTTTTTATCTTAATTAATTATTTTAATTCATTAATGAAGAAAATTTTTATATAATGCTGGCTCAACCCTATTCCCAACCCTAAACCTAACCCTAAACCTAACCCAAAACCTAACCCTAACCCTAACCCTAAACCTAAACCTAAACCTAAACCTAACCCAAAACCTAACCCTAAACATAACCCTAAACCTAACCCTAAACTGATTTGTACTGAGTTATATTTGGATTTGTATTTGTATTGAGTTATATTGGACTGGCTCAAAATAAACTGAACCAGTTCAGAAGAAATTGAACTGGTTCAAAATCATATTGAACCTGAACTACAACATATACATACTTTGCAAGCAGTTTCTGACCTTTAATATAGGTGTTTCAATACTGAGTAACAGGATAAATCCCACTATTAAACCAGATGAGCACAGCCTCTACATAAATGTGTTTCTTCTTCATTTTAGGAGTTCAATTGCCTGTATTCTCCAGAGTGCAAACGCTAAAAGYGTGAAAATGTACTATTAAACATAGGTTAGAAATAATAATGTTTCAATGTTATTCATGGTTTTAGTGTTTTCACTCTAACGCCTTAAAACTAAGCGTATCAAAGGGGTCTATCTTTGATAGCATARGGGAGTTATTTTTTATTTGGGAGTGGGGTTCGCCGTTGGAAGTTAAAAAAAGTGGMCCTCCATTGAATGTGATAGAAAAATATTATGACCCTCACAAAATATATATAACAGCTTTTTGCCATTATTTCATGAATTCCAACAAGCTGATTKGCTGATCTGGCGCGCGTGCTCATTCGAAAGAAATTAATAATTTTCACCAACACCTGAAAAAATCGCGCACTCTAAAATGTTGTGAATTTGATGTAAAAGAAAATGAAGATTTACATCAAATTTRCAACTTAAAGTGCGCGATTGTTTCAATTCCTATAACWATACATTTTGGTTTWAAAAAAATYAAYCCATTTTTTCGTAGYATCGACTCAAAATGTTCAAAACTTTGCAGTGAAACTCTTGTTAAAGAAGAAAATGTCTTGTCAACACTGCTTGACATGTTTTGTCACTGACCTTGGCTGTAATAGTCAACTTTAGATATTTTGGTTTGATGACTGTGTACAAAAGAACACACACGAGGTTCCGGGAAAACAATGGATAATCTTGATTTATTCTTTTATTTCCTCGGAGCCTCGTCTGCAATTCTTTTGTGCATGGTCACTGAACCAAAATATCTAAAGTTGACTATATAAAAGAATAGCAGTGTTTAACGTTATAACAGCTCTGACCTTGTGTTTTTTAAAGATTGCATGCTGAGCCAAATAACTT